TGTCTGTCACGGTGTTTTCGTTTTTTGAAAAGAACGGTTTTCTCATAATTTGCAATGTTGTTTGGAGCCATGTAGAAGCCAAATTCTGGGCAGATTTTCACATTGCCATGGCAACGGCAGCTCCTGACCTGTGTGTGTGTGCGTGCCTAGCAACCAGATAACCAACTCTCCAAGCTCCGCTAGCTTTACATTAGCCGCATGTTAGGTCTTAAATTACATTTAGTTAGGTCTTAAATATGTAAGTCCATTTACTGCTTCCTTTGTTGCTTTTCTTTTTGTTTTGTTAAATGAGTGAATGAAGTTTTGACGGTCTCCGCTGAGACAGAGGAGAGGAGAAGCTACTAGCCCTCTCTCGCTGTCACTTCTAGTCGCGTTGCTCTCCTCCCCAGTAATGTTAAATTTAGCACCGAAAAATAACATAATAGTGGTAATTTAAATAGCGGTTCATGGGATTTATTAACCCTCAGGGGTCCCTCTGTCCTTTTTTGGACATTTTCTTCACTTTTCTTTTTTGATTTGCTGATCATTTTGGCTGTGTTACAGCTGAAGGTATGGATTTCTGCAAGAAAGTGTCTTTTTTGACATATTTTTAAAATCTAATGTCAGTTACTGTTACAGGTCTATTATACACTGGTAACACATTTTGTACCCTCTGGGGTTCCTCGCGTCCAAGAAAGGACACACAAAGAAAATGCTATAAAATCATCATATATCAATATTTTTTTCTGCTTTTTTTTGCATACAGGATTTTAACCCTTTAAATGCCAGTTTGAAGACATGTTGCCTCTTGTTTTATTAAAAAAAACAACACAGAATATGAGATATTTCCCACATAATACATGATGGAGGGATGTGACATTGTTTTATATCAGAGTCAAATTGAATTGAATACTACTGATACTAGTACCTCTGTTGCTGCTACTACAAGGATTACATGATTGCAGCTACTGCTACCCTGACTACATGTGCAGCTACCTGTGGGAGGTAAAGAGATGTAGGGCTACCTGAGCTGCAGGAGGTAGTGACGTTGGTTCACGCCAGTGCACACCTCATTACAGGCTGTGGAGACAAGAGAACAGGAGAGACAGAGACAGAAACATAAGCAGCAACTGGTCGGTCTGAGGCTGTTTTCTGTGTGTGATGGTTCATGTTGTCAGATTTCAACATGTGTGTGTGACATTTCAGGTGTCAGGATTAAGGTGTGTTGTGGTTATTGTTGTTTTCATGTGTTTCACTGCTCCTGTCGTTTTGATGTTTGCTTGTGTTTCTCTATCGCTCTGGTCCGCCCTGCAGGTGAGCTGGTACTGGGATATAGGTGCTGCCCAGGACTACTTTTCTACTTTTCAATCCTCTCTGGTGCTAATCTGCTGGTTCCCCCACCACTCAGTAACTTGACAGGTTCGGCTGTATCCCATTATCCCATCAGGCAGTCAGAGCAGGGTTAAGGTGTGATGTGGGTGTTAATTGTTTGCAGTGAAAATAATCACGTGTAAACTTCAGTGTGCAAGACTCAGTATAAATAGTGTGTACTGGTGTGTACAGTATGTGCAGTGTGTACTAATGTGTAGTGGTGTGTACAGTATGTACAGTATGTACAGTGGTCACTGGTGTGTACAGTGTGTACAGTATGTACTGGTGTGTAGTGAAGCTGAAGCTGTTAGTACAGTTGTGAGTCAATATAAAATGGGAACTTCTGTTATAAAAACTTGACTTGTAATTCCTTGCAGTGTGAGCTGCTGCGGGTGTAACATACAGCTACAGTACGGTGGCCAACAGGGGCAAAATGCGCAACACCGACCCAAGACACTTCTATCAAGGAGAAATGAGCTGCAAATTCAGAAACAATGCAGATTCAAAAAGACATTCGAAAATACAAAACTAATACAGGAATGGAAACATGCTACAAATGAAAAAGCATGCTACAGGAAGCCAAAACAAAACGAGAGTATGAGAGAAGAAAGAGGCAACGTAAAAAGGTGATTAAAAGGTGTTCTTTTTTCATAAATCATATAAAAGAACAACAGATAATGTAACAAGCTTTTGCATGCTTATATACAGTCTATGGGTGTTCCACTTAGAGCTCCCTCTAGATGACTGGAGCTTTTCCGTTGTGCTGTTTGGATCTACAGAGTTTTTTCCGTTGCATTTGTTTTGGGGGTTCATGTTTTTTTGTTGCATAATTCCTGTATTTGCAGCTCATTTCTCCAAATGGAAGTGTTTTGGGCCGTAGAAGCACGTTTGCCCTTGTCGGCCACCATACTACTGCCATGCTGTGCTGTTAATCTACCACTAATAACAACAGCACTCAACATTTGTCTGTATGTCTGCTGCTACTATGATAATTAACACAATTATCAACACTGTCATAAGTATTCTCCAGTAAGAATGCAGGTTCAGCATTAGTGTTGTCATTCCTCTAAAGATGATGCCTGAAGGATCCAGATCACAGTCTCAAGGAAGCTCAGTCAAGATCTGAGCAGACCACAGTCTGTCATTGCTTCCTTTAGGGGACAGGTTGAGGACACACGTGTTGTCCTCAGGCGGCAGCAGGCAGACACACTTTGAATATGTAAATATGGACGAAACATTTGGTAGGAAAACACACTCAGAGGTTGTTGTTGTTGTTTAATTGTGATCTCCCACATGTGAACTTCAGCTTTGTCAGTGTTACAGACCTCTCCGAGGGAGCTCAGGGGTGGGGTCATGTTTCGGAACAGGAAAACTACCAGGCAGTCGACTGCAAGTCCACACATGTCTGTATGGGAACGTCTCAGCAGACTCCCTGTCCCTGTGTCTGTAATCACACTGCCTCAGTTCAGTCATATTAAAGGTAAGAAACAAATTGCAGCTCTCAGATCAGCCTCCAAAATAAAGGTCCGGATGTGACAGGATGTATACTGCAGGTTTATTTTAGAGTGTGTTCTCTCTGGGCTCCTGGCCAATCACAAGACCCACGTCTTTACATTGTCACGTTGCATAACAACCCCCCACCCCCACCTCCTCCAGCGACTTCATGTTGTCCCAGAGCTGCTGTGTGGGAGGAGAGACTTTACCTGAAGAGGCCAGAAGCACTTCCTCCTCCGCCCTGTCTGCACACAGGTGAGGGGGAAGTGTTACCTGGCAAATACCTGCTTTTTCCTTCTCTCCTTCTACACAGGCGGCGTCTCTTTAACTCTGGAGGAAAAAAGGTAAATATTCACCTCTTCTTCTTCACCTGTAGACCTGCGTCAATCCCACACCTGCACTTGTTTACTGTGTTTTCATTCATGTGTTATGTGCAGCTGTGTTTGGTTTTATTCTGACACAGGATTTTTGTGATTAGTCATGACTTGTGAAGAAGTGCTCCACAGCAGGTGGACTCAGTGTAGACAGGCTCACGTGAAGCCTGATTGACGCCTTCAGCCTGAGGCGCATTTCTGAGTGAGGTTTCCCTGTGCTCCGTGACGCACACACGCATTTATTGGTCTTTGTGGGAAATGATGTGAATCTTCGATCTATAGGATTAAATATTAAATTTACGAGCTGAGCGCCAACGGTGCAGAGGGAGTCCTGAGGAGCTCAGGTCTGGTCTGTAGTCCGCAACAGTCTCTGTGAGGTCACTCGGTCCAGACAGCAGGCAGACGGAGTGGAGGGGAAACAGTGAAGAACATGTTCTCATTAGAACTTGAAGCAGAACATGGCTGTAGATCTTTAGAACCTTTAATGTGAAGCAGTTAATATGAAGTAGTTTTTAAAGTCGTTCAAATAATTTTTATAAGGTCTCCTCGCACCCCTTTCTCACTGTCGGTCTCTGCGCGAGACCACTTCAGCACTCGTTTGGGCGCTTCGATCACCTCGCGCCTACTAGAAGACCCGAGCGCGAGTAGGCGGCACCAGCTGGCGCATTTGTGCTCGAGCTTGAGAGTGATGCTGCATTCATGTTCCGTAGGAAATAAAATATCTTACAAACCTCGCGGTTAAAGCAACTGGAAGTGTTTGTTCCCCCGGTCACTCATTAGTTTTACATGCATGAAAAATGAGTTGATGTTAATATAAAGTCTGTCAGTTTATGAGCCTCACATTCAGACACAGAGTTGAGTGTCTGACTCTCAGAGAAGTAAATACAGGCGATCTTTGACTGTTTAATGCACTTCCTGCTGCTCTGAATGTTTCCAGAAACTCAATTAAACATCCTAGCAGGTCTAATCCAGTCAGACAGAAGTGAGATGTTCTTGCTCTCTTTGTGAGACACAAGCAAAACATTGTTATTAACATCTTATTTTGCATGAAAATATTAAATATTGGAAAAACATAGACTACCAATGTCTGTCAAATTAGCTGAACTAGTAATGATATCTAAAATATCAGTTCACATTCATAAGGACATGTGTCATTTCTGGCAGCCATCTGTGTTTAGAATAGGAAATTTGGGTCAAAAATCTTTTACTGTGAAGCAGATGGATAACCTTTGCACCAGAGGAGTCTCTGAGGACTTCAGAAAAGTAGTAGTTGTGGTTAACTAACTTCCTGGTCATTTTTTCTTTTGGAAAACTGAACAATTATCTGTGTGTTAGCGTCTACATGAGGGAGTAAACTGAGGTTAAACTGACTCTCACTGATCAGAACAGATGAGTTTATCATCAATTAAAACCATTCACCAAAATAAGCAGAACCTACTGTATCTAAACCAAGGAGAGGTTAAAGTTATTTTATAGACAAACAGAAACAGTGTGTTTGTAGAGCATGTTTCACACACGAACAAATGAACTGCTATGACATTTTTGAAAATTGCAAACCTGCAAGAAACGTGACTAAAACAACTCGTTGTTGGAGCAGCTGAAAGCTGAGGTGAACACTGATAACTGAGTCGTGGGCAGGGAGCCCACATTTCCCCGTTTTCCTGTGGAAATTTAACGCAACACCATTGTAGACCGTTTTGGCACGATTTTCACTGAGGCTCCCTGCGCGTTATCTCTGCTGTCTGTGAGTGGAACATCTCATTTACACAGAGCGGCTCTTCACACACGGAGGAGACGTATGTTACCATAGAATAGAGTCAGGCTGACAGATGATGTGGTGAATTAAACCTGGGACAGCTCCTCTGTTCTCGCATTGAGATAAACAGAAACACACGCTTCATCTGGACAAATAGTTTGTTTTGGACACATCTAACAGGAGACAGTTTGACTGCGGTCTATCAGCTCTCCACCAGCTCTCCTACAGCTCTACATCAACTCTCCATGAGGATGAAGTGCTAGTTCTCCGTCCAGCGTTTCCATGCAACAGCGCAGTCGGCTGTGAAGCCACGGAGCTCACGGAGGAATAGATGCTGTTGCAGAGAGCGGCAGAGCAGTAGATCTGGTTTGGGGTCTCTGTAGGAACCCAGAGCGGCTTATTAAACCCGATGGAGCGACAGGATGATGGAGAGGAGCCGCTCGGGGGCTTAAACCACCATGATAGAGCACAGGAGCCCGGTAAGCTGCTCCTGCGCATATTTCTCTCCAAATTTAGCAAGAAACGCAGGAATATGATGATGATGATGATGATGATGATGATGATGATGATGATGATGGTGGTTTGTGCGCGCCCGCTGAGAGATGCAAAGCTTAATTTTCCTGCTTAGCTACGTGTTTACATTTGAGTTTATGTCAGTGCAAGATGTCCTCACATTCCCTCGGGTTGGTTCAGGTGGACTGAAGCTGATGATGTGAGGCACATGGACGCGCTGATGGAGGGAGCCTTCAAATTACTTCATTAAGATGCTGAGGATTCTGAGTGCTTTAAACATCATGGCCATTTTATTTGTTTGACTTTGCTCCACTGGTTCCAACCTGGCCTCATGGGAAATTTGTACAATCTTTATGACAAATCATTTAATGTGTGACGTGTAGATCCAACCCACAACCAGAAACAACAGTTTACCCTGAACCTTAAAGGGGTAGCTCAGACTTTTCCAGGCAGGGCAGAATGGACTACTGGTGGACACATGGACACTAGTTCAGAGTCTTAGCGGGAGGTGAATGATGGGATATCAGCTTGGCTCTCTAGATTCAGAGGACAGACTGGTCCGCTGCTTGACGAAGGAGCTGGTGAGGAGGCAGCAGCTCCTGACTGTTTCAGAGTTTTTATATTCACATGTTGTGTTTTCTTAGCGTGCTAACGTTAGCCACGGGTATGCCTACATTCAGGAGTCAAAAACAGTTTTGGTCTCTATAGTTTATTTCCTCCTTCATGACAACTGTTCATATAACTTTTATGTTTACATTTTATTAAGGCTTAAAATTATGGAGAACTGCTGGCCTCTTTGAGTGACAGGTGGGTAAGCGTATGCTTGCCACAAGCACCAAAGTCTCAGATCCACACACTCCACCTCTTCCACCATTTTTGGATTTTTTGTCTTAGGTGGAGTCAGACAATGCCAAGATGGCAATGGTGGAGCAGCTCACTCTGAGCTTTGAAACTGCTCTTCACAAAACCGGTGGGTGTCAGTCATATAGAGAAATGTTCTAAACCTGAACTTTCTTCGTTGAAAAATAATGGTTATAACAGAGTGTTATTAAAAACAGGCTTCCCTTTGATGACTTCCTGTTCCACGTTTGGCTTCCTCAGTTATTAAGAGCATTTATAGGTTTACATGACGACGTTACCACGGAATCAGATGTTGGCACGCTCATGTTGATAATGATGTAACCAATATTATTGTAGCTTTACAGAGCAATCAAACAGAATCATCATCATCATCATCATCATCATCATCATCATTGTCCTTTACTTAATCCTCAATTATTTACAGTATTGCTGAGATTATAAAGCGGGATTACACTATAAAAAAAAGTTCATTAAAAATGTAAATATTATTTACATTCATTTTAAACTTGAAGCTGCTGTATAATACACTGCAGTCTTGTGAAACCATGGTCTTAGAAGCTTACCTTTATATTGTGCTGGGCTCCTGAGGGTTTAGCAGCAGTTGTTGAAGGATTGTATATGGTGAAACATTAGCTGTAGTAGCTGTAGTCATAGTTTGGAAGTGATGCAACAGGAGTAAAATAACTTTAACACCATAATTGTGGTATAATAGTAGATTCTTGTGTGACAGCAGTATTCCACAGTGGATACAGGACTTGATCCAGTTTACAGGTGTCAACATCTGTATCCATCTGTCTCCAGAGGTGGAAACAAACAACCAATGTTAACTCTTGTCTCAGGTCTTTTCTTCTACTGAAGTTAAAATGCTAACTAGTTAGCCCCAGTGCTGGTCCAAAAAGTAATTGTCTGCCAAAAACTGATCGCTGTCAGTGGGAGCCCATGCAGCCTGTTAAAGCTGTATCATACAGTTTACACATGTCTACAGCTGATTTTATCTGGATCAAACAGTCATAACCTGTAAATGTCTGTGATAACAGCAAAGGTGTCTGTGAAACTTTCATGTTTCTTGAAATCCAATAATCGCAGTTGTGACCAAAGGAGTGTTTTCAGTTTAGAGCTTAATAAGACATGACATTGACATGATTACAGGCAACACTATAGTATTGTTACTGATGTTTATGTGTTTATGTGATATGTCTAGTATCCTTGTTTAGATTTGGAAACAAGACTGTAATTAACATGAATTACGGATGGTTAAATATAAAACTAGAGATTTTAAAAAAGCCTTCCTGTTTTGCTCCTGATTTTCTGCTCTCATTTTACATTAGAGTGAATGGGGCAGTTGAATGGTACTCCTGCCACTTTGAAGGGCATAGTTCAAATTCTGTAACTCTCTGTACATTGTATGAAAGAGGACAAATTTACCTACTTTCTGGGAAAAAGTGATACGTGAAGAGTGAAATTTGTGGCTGTGAGGACGAGATAAACTGAAAATATTCAGAACAGTTTAACACCTTCTCTGTGTGATGTCACCCACTGTAACTGTGAACATTAAAAAACTGTCACTGTGTAAAAACTAAACAGGATTTAAAACCAACCAATACTGAAGGAAAGTTTCCAAACATTTTACAGTTTGAATGGAATTCATGACTGAAAGAATGAATGAGTAGACAAGGCTGAAAAATTCATGTAAAGCTGTAAAAAACTGGGGATTTTGAACATTTCATCCATTCATCTTAATGGGATACAAGACTAGGTCTGATCTTTCCAAAGTAAAATCCCTCTTTATTTGACAGAAGCCCTTTATTTCTTAACAGGGTTCTTATTGCTGTGCTGCAGTAAGAGTATTGTCTCATTTCATGTTGCTGGTGTTTCTGTTGTTTACATGGTATTCAGATCTGCTAGTTTCTTTAGCAGTTACAGATGACTTCTCTCTCTCTCTCCCTCTCTCCTGCTCGCTCTGCTCTGTGTGTCTTATGTTTAGTTATTCCTCTGCCTCCTTTAGTAATAATGATACATGCAGTAAAAGTAGTTTATTTGCTGTAAAGGAGGCGAGGCTCAGTGTATTGGAGGCGCTCCTCCTCTTCCCTGCAGTTTACGAGCAGCTGGGAAACGAGAGCGGCTCAGTAGACTGTGGCTCAGCACTCCACTTACTAGTGATGGAAATACCATCACTCAGTCAGTCAGTCAGTCAGTCAGTCAGTCAGTCAGTCAGGGACATTCCGCTGTTGTGGATGTCAGAAAAACTGTGCATGTTCAGGTACCCCGCCCACGTTCTCTCATTACTTGTACAGTGAGACTTCTTTTCGCCATTTGACCGAGTCCTGAGTTTAAAGGGCTTTGATTCTGTATTGAGTTGTGTATATAGTGTTACACATGTCATATTAGTACTTGTGGTTGATATGTACAATTTGGAGTTGATGGCTGTGTAAACACACTGTCAGTTGACATCACTGTGAGTCAACATTGCCAACAGATGCCATTACATCCTGTTAGATCTTTATTTGTTGAACCAGCCCTCTGTAACACTTGGCACGGCAGGCCGAAGGTGTCTGAAAGTTTGATACCTGGTGAGTTTTTGTACGGAGATATTATCTTTTCTTTAATCCCTCTTTATTCCATGACATGTTGGAAAATGCTACAAATCCCAACCCATTACCACACTAGTAAACTGACTTTGTATTGTGGGTATAAATAATAAAATGGCACCTTGTACACAGCCAGACAGGTGAACTAATCCAATGTTGATTTACACTGAAAATATCTTGTGTTGTTAAAGTAAATACCAGACCATCCATGCTGGTTGGCGCCTGTCTGGGCTGTCCACCAACACATTTGGCAGATGATATCAGGTCTGGGGCAGGGTTGTGTTTTTTATGGAATAGATGTAACTACATATAACAAACAACAAAATATAACACTATTATATTAATATACATTATATATTATTTGAGATAACTTCTGTTGTGATTTGGTGCTATACCTATACATAAAAACTGACTTCACTTCAAACTTATGTATATTTCCTAACACCATTAATCTACCAAGTGCTTTAGTCATACAACGGAATTTACATAAAATACTAACATATTATACAAAAAAAGTAGAAAGAGGTGCGTGTTCGGGTTTACAAGAGGTATGCAGAGGCTGGTGAACTGTACAGAATCAAACGTCATGCCAGACATGTAACGTCAGGTTTGCCTCAGGTATTCTAATCTGCAGAATCTAAACAAGCCCTATCTGTTCCCTCATGGTTCACCTGATCTTGATGTTACAACACAGCTCTGAGGTCATGGAATCATAAATGATGAGGATTTGTTGTCAGATTAATTGTCGTGCATTGATTTTTTTTTTTTTATATCCTCTTTATTTGCTAAGTTGCATTTTATGGAAGCCTATAGGGGACTATATTCAAATGATAATGTAATTCCACAACAGCATTTTAATTTTCCACATATGTATGTTTTATTTGAGTAAAAATGAAAATGAAATAAACCAATTATTTTCATTCTCACATACTTGTATGGCCTTTTCCAGACCATATTAAAATGAAAATGGAAAAGCTGTTTGACATTTCATTTTCAAGGTCACATCCTGCTGAACAGTGGACATTATTCAAATGTTAATTGATGATTTTTACTCAAATAAAACATACATATGTGGAAAATGAAAATGCTATTGTGGAATTACATTATCATTTGAATATAGTCCCCTATAGGCTTCCATACTTTAACTGATTAAATTAGTAAATTAAGGAAGATTAATGGATTAATAAAAATAAAGATGAGAGAAATAAATGTAATAATGAACTATATGGCTTATTCCTTTCTCCCCCCCTTCTCCCATACTCTTCCATTTTATTTCCCCCTCTCCCTTTATGCATTTTTTATTATTAATATTATTTTTGTATATTATATTTGTTTTCTGGATCCTCTTCAATATTATTTCAAGAGTTTTGCTAGATTTCTAATCCTGTGATTTATTATCTCTATTTTATAAATTTATACATTTTATAAATTTCATTAATCATGTAATTGATGTCCTTCTGTCCTACTGGACCCGTCGACGTTGAGGATTCTGTGTCAGATTAATTGTGGTGCCTTGG